CGCGGCCGGTGCCGCTGCTGCCCGTCCATGTCATGGTCGACCGCCGCCGCAAAACCCATGCCGAGGCGGTCGCCGCGCATCCCGACTGGCCCGTCATCCTGATGGCAAGCGTGGTCGAGGCGATGGGCCAGCATCGCGCGCCCGTCGGCGCTTTTCCCGCGCAGCGCGGCGGCGCAGGCCTATGGCACCCTGTGGCGGACCGTCGAACGGCGGTTGGCCGACAGATGAGCACGGTGCCATCGAACGCCTGACCCCGCATCTCGTCCTAGGGGCCTATGCGGTCGGCGTGTTTCCGATGGCCGATACGCGCGATACCGACCATGTCTATTGGGTCGAGCCGCGCAGCGCGCCGTGCTGCCGCTCGAAGGGTTCCACCTCTCGCGTTCGCTGCGCAAGACGGTGGCGGCCGACCGGTTCCCGCGTCACCGCCGACACCGCTTTCGAGTCCATCATCCGGCTTTGTGCGGAGAGCGTTCCTGACCGGCCTGAGACTTGATCAACTATGCCATCGAGCGGGCGTTCATCGACCTGTTCGACATGGGCTTTGCCCATCTGATCGAATGCTGGGACGGCGACGAACTGGTCGGGGGCCTTTACGGCCTGAGCCCGGGCCGCGCCTTTTTTCGGCGAATCCATGGTCAGCTGGCGGACCGACGCGTCCAAGGTCGCGCTGGTCTGGCTGGTCGCGCGGCTACGCGCCGGCGGCTACAGCCTGCTCGATTGCCAGTTCCAGACGCCGCACCTCGCCACGATGGGCGCAGTCGAGATCGGACGCGACGATTATGTCGCGCTGCTCTCCGACGCATTGGCCGGGGTCGTGGGACCCGGCGCATCGGTCTCCGGTGCCTCAGTGCCCGGCGACTTTCGGCGCGCTCGACCGCTTGGGGCAGCCCCCGGGGTCGCCGCCGGCACCGTGTCCGGCCCAGTTTCGGGCCAGACATCGTGCAGCTCTTGGCCCAAACGTCATAGACCGGATGCTGGACGACGTTCAGCGCCGGCCGTTCCTTGAACACCCATCCCGAAAAGGCACGCCGCCACCGCTGATCGGTGCCGCGAACGTCGAGCTGGACAAAGGCGCCGGTCAGTTGCTCCGCCTCCCACGAGGCCGTCTTCTCACAGGCCCGCAAGCGCACGATCGCGTCGCCGACACGCACCGCCCGCCGGGTTTCAGCGTCAGTTCGCGTGAAACGCCATTGCGCTTGTTGAGCAGGCCGACCACCGCGACTCGCTCCGCCATCGGCGTGCCGCCAGTGGGCAGGCCCGCCTGTCCTGCATCGACCGATTCGATTCCCGATCCGCCGCCGAGGCGATCGGGCAGGATCTGGCTGACCGCCGATTGTCGCCACGCGCCGCGCGATCATCGGTCAGCGCCTGATAGCCGAACCAGCCCCCGACACCGAGCGCGGCTGCCAGCACAGCGCCGGCCAGCCAGCGAGTCTTGTTCACCCCTCGGGCGTCCAGCTTCATAGTCGCCGGTCGCGGCGGCCCGCTGGCCTCCCTTTTTCCAACGCGCCGGGCGGGCGATAGGCGAGCGCGGTGCCCGTCAAATTGGGCAGCGCCGGCTTCGCCACGCACGACGCGGCGGCAGCGAGCGGTCAGGCACGTCCTCGACCTGATGATGCAGCCAGTTGAACCATTCCGACGGCACGCGGCTGGCATCGTTGGAGCCCTTTAGATGACCCAGCGGCGCGGACGGCCGGCGGTATCGCGACCGCCCTCATAATAGACGTTGCCGTGCGCGTCTCGCCCACCTGCGCCTTGCCGCGCAGACCGAACCAGTGCCGATGGTGGCGCCGTTCCACCGTGTGAAGGGATTGAGGTTGATGCCCATGACGCGCCGTGTAGCCCGGCTCTCGCCAGCCTTCAACCGCGTTCCGCGTCGCGCGCCAGAGACGGTGTCGCCTTCCGAGATACCAAGCTCGGCGGAACGCCCACCGACCAGCCCGGGACCGCCGCGATCGGCTCGCCCGAGGGGACCTGCGCCTCGCTGAACGGCACGGTATTCTCCGCGATCCGCGCGATCGTGCCGTCGGCACGGATGAAGAGGATGTCGAGCGAGGTCGGTGTGTTCTTCATCCAGAAGGAGGCCGGGCGCGGTCCCGTGCCATCTGGGGGATAGGGCGCGAACAACATGCCGCCATCGGGCTTCAGGTCGGTGCGGTACATCAACCCCTGCTCCTGCTCGGCCGCGGTCCCGCCTGTTCGACTCGGAAGACATGCGATCCTTGCGCGGTGCGGACCGTGACGGGAATGGTCTTCGCCTTTGCGCGTTTCCGCCCGCTCGGCATCCTTCGTCGCCGCGCCGGAACACCCCTGACAGGGCGACGCCCGCCAGTACCAAAGCAGTAGCCGGCGCCATCCATGCACGCCGCCGCATCATGCCGCCCCGCGCGGGGTCACGGCGACCGCCAGCGGCCCCTTGGGCCCGTCGACGATGCGCGCCATCAAGGGCTGGCCAGCTCGACCTCGACGATACCGCCCCGCCGCAACGTTTCCATATGGACGAAGATATCAGCCCCATCGCTGTCCCGCAGCAGGAAGCCATAGCCCTTCAGCCGGTTGAACCATTTGACCGCCACCCCTCGGCCTCACCTGCCCGGCCGATCAGCGCGGCAGGATCGATCTGGTCGGACGAGCGCGGCCGCTTGGGCTGTTTCGGGCACGGCATGGGTCAGATCGATCGAGACCACTTCGCGCGCCTGATAGCCGCGCCCGCGCTCGACCGCGATCATCTCCACCCGCGCGCCCTCGGGCAGGCTGCGCCGACCATGCGACTGGAGAACGGTGAAGTGCAGCAGCACATCCCCATAAGTCAGGTCGTCCGCGACGGCGAAGCCGAAGCCCCGCGTCACGTCGAACCATTTGACGACCCCTGCCAGCCTTTACGGCGTTGTCCGCCGTCTCGCCATCGAAGCCGCCCCTTCATTCGGCGTTTCTTCCAGCATTCAAAGCACCCTTGAACGCTATTGCTAGCATCATTGCTCGCACTCGCAACGTAACGCGGCGCATTTTTCATGGTCCGAACTGGGACCAATGCCCAAAAATCCGCGTGTTTTCGCGTCAGAAGTCGCCATCGTCCAGCATTTCGCCGGGCGGCGCTGACACGATGCGGCGGGCCAACGCCATGTCATGGCCGGCGCGCATCATTGCCGCGAACTGTCTTTCGCGGACCCCATGGTCGGCCTCACCATCGCCGAACGGCCCGATCTGCCGCCGCCGGGCAAAAGCGAGCGCGGCATCGCGCGCGGCCTCGGCGACTTGCGGCGCCACCGCCTCGCTATCCTCCGCGCCGATCCGGGCCGCGTGCAGCGCCTGCCGCACGCGCGCGCGCGCCCATGCCCTGCCGGGCCAGCGAGGCCGCCTTCGCCTCGGCATAGGCGCGATCGTCGATATAGCGGAGCGATACCATCTTCGCGGCCAGCCCCTCGATCGGGCATCCTCCCGCCCAGCCGCGTTCGCGCAACTTTCGGCGCAGATAGTCGATCAGCTTGCCCTCGGTCGTCGCAAACCGCTCGACATAGCGCAGCGCCGTGCGCTCGGGTGAGGGCGGGATCAAGCGGCTTGGGCGGGCGACGTTCGGCAGACACGCCTTCTTTGTGCCACACTGACCTTGGATTTAGAACGCGGGAAGCCGCCAATTGTCGGCGCATATGGAATCAATCGCCTCCACCGACATGCGGTACGGGGCGCAAAAGCATAAGGAACGAAGGCAAGGCCATGACGATCGAGCACCATCAGGACGACGCGCGCGCCATCATCGCGACGCTGACCGAAGATGCGCTGCCGCGCCGCTTCGCCGACTTCGCGACGTTGGGCGAAGCGTTGGACTATGCCGCCTCGGGCTCGCGCGCGGACTGAACTTCCATGACGCGCGCGGCACCCTGACCCGCCCATATCCCTTCCGCGAACTGCGCGAGGACGCGCTGGCCTGCGCCTGCCGCCTGATCGCCAGCGGCGTGAAGCCCGAGGAGCGAATCGCACTTGTTGCCGAGACCGGGCCCGAATTCGCCGCCCTGTTCTTCGGCGTGGTCTATGCCGGTGCTCGCCGGTTCTGGCTGCCGCTGCCGACCTCGTTCGGCGGGCGCGATCTTATATCGAACAGCTTCGCGTCCAGCTCGCTAGCTGCGATCCCAAGATGCTGATCTTCCCGCCCGAACTGGCGCAGATGGCCGGGACCGCCGCCGAGGCCGCAGGCGTCGAGGGCATCGACTGGGACAGCTTCGCCCAGCGTGCGGCGCCTGAGGCTCCGCTTCCCGAAGCTAAGTCGGACGCGATCGCCTATCTGCAATATTCCAGCGGTTCGACCTGTTTCCCGCATGGCGTGGCGATCACCCATCATGCGCTGCTTAACAATCTGGCCGCGCACAGCCATGGGATGAAGATCCGGGAGAGCGACCGCTGCATCTCGTGGCTGCCCGGTATCACGACATGGGTCTGGTCGGCTGCTTCCTGTCGCCGATCGCCAACCGTGTCTCGACCGATTACCTCAAGACCGAGGATTTCGCGCGTCGTCCGCTCGCTTGGCTCGACATGATCAGCCGCAATCCGGGCACCTCCGTCAGCTATTCGCCGACCTTCGGCTATGACATCTGCGCGCGTCGCATCTCGTCGCAGACCAAGGCGTCGGACCGGTTCGACCTGTCGCGCTGGCGGATCGCGGGCAATGGCGCGGACATGATCCGCCCGGACGTGATGCAGAGCTTCGTCGACGCCTTTGCCGATGCGGGCTTTCCTGCCACCGCCTTCCTGCCCTCCTATGGCTCGCCGAGGCGACGCTGGCGGTCTCGATCATGCCGCCGGGCGAGGGCATCCGCGTCGAACTGGTCGAGGAAACGCAACTGTCGGGTGGTGCGCAAGGCACCGACTGGCCGCAGCGCTTCCGCGCCATCGTCAATTGCGGCAAGCCGGTGCGCGACATGGTCGTCGAGATCCGCGAGGAAGACGGCACGCCGCTCCCCGACGGGGGGCGATCGGCAAGGTGTGGTGCAAGGGCCCGTCGGTCATGGTCGGCTATTTCCGCGACGATGCCGCGACCGAGGCCTGTATGGCCGATGGCTCGACACCGGCGACATGGGGCTATGTCGAAGGGCTATATCTACATCGTCGGCCGCGCCAAGGACATGATCATCGTCAACGGCCGCAACCACTGGCCGCAGGACATCGAATGGGCAGTCGAGCAGCTTCCCGGCTTCAAGGCGGGCGACATCGCCGCCTTCGCGATCACCACACCGGGGCGGTGAGGAAACCCCCGCCGTGCTGGTCCAGTGCCGCAGCTCGGACGATGAGGAACGCGCCCGCTTGCGCGACGAGATCTGCGAGCGTGTACGCGCGGTGACGGCATGAACTGCGTCATCGAACTGATCCCGCCGCGCACCCTGCCCCGCACCAGCTCGGGCAAGCTGAGCCGCGCCAAGGCCCGCAACCTGTATCTGGCGGGTGAGATCGCCGTACGACGTCGCGGCCTGATTTCGGACTGACGTTTTAGAAAGGGGCTCGGTCGAAAGGCCGGGGCCCTTTTTGTGTCCAGCACGCCACCTCCCCATTCAGCCTGAGCGAAGTCGAAGGCCACGCCCCGGCTCTCCTCCATATCCCCACCCCGGCGAAGGCCGGGGTCCAGTTGGGGTGAGCGATCGAGCGCGCCATAGGCCTGATGGCTACTGGCCCCCCGACCTCCACCGGGGTGGCAAGGCATCTGATTCAGCCCTGCGTCCGTAGCCTTCGACTTCGCTCAGGCTGAACGGGAGCGTGGGGGAGTGGCCCTCCTCAATCCTTCAACGGGTCATGCCCCAGTTCATCAGCGAGTAGCGCCATGGCGAATGCTCGACATCCTTGTCCGGCCCGCCCTGCTTCAGATGCCGGTGCACATAGCCGACCACCTTCTTCATATGCGCATAGTCGTCATCGGTCAGGTCGGCCTTCTTCTGTGCTTGATCGCCACGATCTTTCGCCCTGAATCATGGCCGACACTCTCGTCGGAGCCGCTCTTCTTCTGTCCGACCTCCTTCGACCTGTCGTCGGTGTCGAGGAACTTCTCCAGCTCGGCGGGGGCCATGTTCACGGCCTCCTTTGAAATCGACGTAAATCTGCTCGTGATCCTCGGCCATCATGGGCTCCTTTCGGCGGGATCAACGCCGACAGGCGAAATTCGGGCTCAGCCGAGCATGCCCTGATAGCTTTGCGGCGGAATGGGCAGCATGGGCGCGTGGCTATTCCGACGATCAGCACGACGACCAGCACCGCCACCGTCACCCCTGACGATCCGCCGATCCCCCGCCATGGCCGCGCCAGCACCAGCTCCAGCGCACAGGCGATGATCGCCCAGAGGTGATAGCGGAAACCGACGCGACGCTGATCACCAGAAAGCTCGCCTCCTGCCCCAATGTCGAGGCGAACAACGCCCCGCCATTCCCTGCACCGCGCGTCACCGCCAGTCCTCCGGCCGCGAGCAGCAGCCACACCACCGGCCACATGATGGGCAGGTCGACCCAAGCGTCCGCCATCTTCTGCCACGCCAATGCCACCCGTCCGGGCGCGTCCAGTGCCAATGTCGTTGGGCTCGGTCGACTGCGGCGGCGTGGCATTGGGCCAGCGCGGCGGCACGCCCAGCCGCCGTGTCGAATTGACGTGCGATGGAGCTGCGCGGCATAGGCGATCGGATGACGCAGGATGGCGGGGGCAAGCCGCGCATATAACGGGCCTGGTGCCACGGTCTGGAACCGGGCGAGCAGCGTACCGCACCGCGCCGGTTCACCCAGCGGGTCCCAGAAGAACGGCTTTACGCAGGCCTTGGTACGAAGCCCGTCGACTTCCGCCGGCGTAAAGCCCAATCGTGGGTCATAGGGCACCTGCCCGCGATACCCGCCAGATCATAGAGCGCCTGTATCCGCGCCACTCCGCTCGCCTGCGCGCCGAGCAGCCGATGGTTGATCACCGGGGCCAGAGCGAGCGTCACCAAGGTCAGCCCGATGGTGATCGCGATCCGGCGCCCCCAGCGCTCGGCGAGCAGGAAGGCGACGAGCGGCGCGATCGCGAAGATGGCGTTCGCGCGCACCAGCGCCGCATAGCCCAGAGCAGCGCGATCGGCACCTGTGCCCAGCCCGCACCGCCCGGTCCCGAAGTCGCCACCAACCGATCAGCCCCACTGCCGCCAGCAGCGCGCCGGTCATCTGCGCGTCCTTCAGGACGGCGACCTGCCACCCCCAGCCGTGGCGGCACCAGCCCGATCGTCAGCACGGCAGCGCCCCGCGCGGCCGTCGATCGACGATCGCCGCCGCAATGGCACCCAGTCCCAGCCACCAGCCAGCCAGTTGCAGCACCAGCATCGGCCCCGCGCCATGCCGCCCGAACAACGACCAGAGCTGTGCCATGATCGGCGGGTGCCAGTCGTCATACCGCGCGTTCAGCACCTGCTGATACTGGGTGACACTGTCATATTCGGCATAGCCCGGCGCGAAGACGAGCACGCTGCAACCGAGCAGGATCAGGTGGCGATCACAATGCGCAGGCGATGAGAATAGGCTCGGGTCATGGCATGCCGATCAGCTATGGCGTTAGCTCCGATGCGGCCAAATCGCGTCGTTTCGCAAGCGGAATGCGGCGTGCCGCCCCTATCCGGTCAAAAGAACGGTGGATCGAGCAGGATGGTACGCACCCAGCAAGACGTATCCCATCGTCCAGACAGGTCTAAAGCGGAGCACGGGCGACAAGAGGGAGGGCGTATGCAGGCCGATACGGCACTGGTCATCATCGACATGCAGATGGTGATGCAAGAGCGGATCGACGCCGGGCGGCCACACGTCAATCCGAATGCTCCTGCGGCCGTCGAGGCGTTGGCCAAGGCCTTCCGACAGGCCGGGCGCCCCGTGATCCATATCCGCCATGCTGAGGCCGATCCTGCCTCACCGCCGTATCCTGATGCCTCGGGCTATCCGCCCATGGCTTGCGCGCAGGCGTTGCCCGGCGAAGCGCTGTTCGTGAAGCGCAGTTCTCGGCCTTTGCCACGACACCGCTGGCGGCGCATCTGCGCGACCATGGTCTGTCGCACCTTTATGTCGTGGACGCCGTGGCCGGGTTCTGTGTCAACTCGACGGTGCGATCCGCCGCCGATCTCGGTTTTGTCGTGACGGTGGTGCGCGATGCGGTGATCGGCTTCGATCTGCCCTCGGCGGCCCGGACGCGCAGACCGTCTTCGATGTCACGATGGGATTGCTGGAGGCCGATTTCGCGACGCTGCGCGATAGTGCCGCCTTGCTCCAGATACTGCCGGTCGCGGCGTCAGGGCTTGTTGACCCATAACGCCATGCCCATCGCATAGGGCCCGACCGGGGCAAAACCGAAGCCGGCATAGAGCTTGTGCGCCTCCCCCATCGGCGATCAGGCTGACATAGGCCTCGGCCGGCATGGTCGCGGCGATATGGTCCATCAAGGCGCGCATCACCGCCTTGCCCAATCCGCGCCCCCGGTGATCGGGATCGACCGCGATATCGACGATCTGGAGCATCAGCGCACCATCGCCGACCACCCGGCCCATGCCGACCGCACGGCCATCATGGTGAATGACCACGCCGAACACCGTGTTCGGCAGTCCCCTCCCCGCCGCCGCCGCGCTGCGCGGGTCAGGCTGCAATGTCGCGAAGCCGCCGATAATCGGCCACGTCGGGGGTGCCGCGATGCAGGCTATAGCCGTCCGCCAATTCCATGCCATTCCCCTCGTTTCATTAAAAGGGGCCCGCCAAAGCGAGCCCCTTCCTTCGTCCAATCGGGGAGCCCGATCAGATGTGTAGCGCACGCCTGTAGGCCGCGAGCACCGATCTGTGCATCGATTCTGAGATCGTCGGGTGCGCGAACACCGTTTCCATCAGCTCGGCCTCGGTCGTCTCGAGCTGACGGGCGACGACATAGCCCCGGATCATCTCGGTCACTTCCGCGCCGACCATGTGCGCGCCCAGCAGTTCGCCGGTCTTGGCGTCGAACACCGTCTTCACAAAGCCTTCGGCCTCGCCCAGCGCGATCGCCTTGCTGTTGCCGATGAAGGGGAAACTTGCCGACCTTCACCTGATAGCCGGCTTCCTTGGCCTTGGCCTCGGTCAGGCCGACTGATGCCACCTGCAGGCGCGAATAGGTGCAGCCCGGGATGTTGCCCTTGTCCATCGCGTGCGGATGAACGTCCTTGTTGCCCAGCGCCTGTGCGATGGCTTCGGCGGCGATCACGCCCTCATGGCTCGCCTTGTGCGCCAGCCGGGGCACCCGTCACGTCGCCGATCGCCCAGATGCCGTCGACGTTCGTGTGGGCCATAGCCGTCGGTCTTGATGTGACCGCGGTCGGTTTCGATGCCCAGCTTCTCCAGACCGATATTCTCGGTGTTGGGGACGATGCCGATGGCGACGATCGCGTGGCTGAACTCGGCGGTCTCGACCTTGCCGTCCGGGCCTTCATCGCGGCCTTCACGCCCGACGCGGTGGCTTCCAGCTTTTCAAGCCCGGTCTTGGTCTTGATGGTCATGCCGAACTTGGTCAGCTGCTTGGTCATGAACTCGCTGACTTCGGCGTCCTCGACCGGCATGATCCGGTCGAGCATCTCGACGATGGTCACTTCCGCGCCCATGTCGTTGTTGAAGCTGGCGAACTCGACGCCGATCGCGCCCGATCCGATGACCAGCAGCTTGGTCGGCATGGCGGGCGGCACCATCGCGTGACGATAGGTCCAGATCCGCTCGCCGTCCGCCTTGGCGAAGGGCAGGTCGCGGGCTCGCGCGCCAGTGGCGACGATGATGTGCTTGGCGGTCAGCTCGGTGGTCTTGTCGCCTTGGACGACCGACAGCTTGCCCTTTGCGGTGATCGTGCCAACGCCCTCATGGACGGCGACCTTGTTCTTCTTCATCAGGCCCTTGACGCCTGCATTCAGCTGGCCCGCGACCTTGCGGCTGCGGTCGACCACCTTGTCGAGGCTGAACGAGGGCTTCTCGACCGACAGGCCGTACTGCGCGGCATGGGTCATGTAATGATAGACCTCGGCCGAGCGGAGCAGCGCTTTGGTCGGGATACAGCCCCAGTTGAGGCAGATGCCGCCCAGCCGCTCGCGCTCGACGATCGCGACCTTCAGGCTGGGCTGGCTCGCGCGGATCGCCGCGACATAGCCGCCCGGGCCGGAGCCGAGGACGATAAGGTCGTAAGTGTCAGCCACTTTGCTCTTCCTTCTGAACGCACGCCCGCGGGGCGGCGGTTGGGGTTCGTCCCCGAATGAATGTCAGTCTTGCGGGCGATCCGGGGGGGGCCATCGGCGGAACGGTACGCGGCTTGCGGTCCTTGTCGGTCGCGACGAACACGAAGCGCGCTGGGTGACCTTGGTCGCGTCCTCCACGTGACGGGCCCGGCGCCAGCCTCGACCTCGATCGTCATCGATGTGGTGCCGACGCGGACGAGCTGGGCATAGACCGAGACTTCGTCACCGACGAGGACGGGGCGTGGAACTTCATCCCTCGACCGCGATCGTGACCGCGCGGCCGCCCGAATGGCGCGAGGCCACCGAACCAGCCGCCAAGTC